ATCAAATATGCTATAGAGGGTCGATTAGCGGAAGGGGAACGATCAAAGTTATGGGATAAAGCTTTTCAAAAAATTCTTAATTCTATGAATAATAGTAGGACTCGCCTTATTGGTATGACACCAGCTCACGCAATGACATTGAAAGAAGTAATATCCAAGCCTTCCATTAAACCCAAAAGAGCAATTGGTAAAGATGAAATAAAGTTAAAAAGGGGTACAACAGTTAGGTATTTATTAAAACCTGGCGAGATAGAAAGTGATCATAGGCATAGGTCAACCGATCCATACTGGTCATTGCGGGTTTATAAAATCGAAAAAGTTATTGTTGGCAAGAATCCACCACAGCCAGTCTTATATTATCTCAAGGGTGAGCCTATCGAATCTACTGCTCGTTTGATGGGACGGAATCCAAAAAGGCCATTCAAGCGAGAAGAACTTCAGGTTATCGAGAATCCAGAAAAAATACAATATACACCAGATGAATTTATGCGAAAATATCATACTGGATTTATTAACTTCATTCGAGTTTCTAATAGCAAGTTAGCCAGGGCTCGTGAATATGCTAGCAAGCGTGATGGAGAATGTCTTGGAAGAAGTGGACGAATCAATGGCCTCGATGTCTTTCTCTGGTCTGGTGGGAAACATCAGTGGGAATATCCATTAAAATTAATTGTGGAGAAGTTCGAGTGGTGTTCTCTTTGCTTTCATAAGAAGGGAGAAAGATCTAGTCGATATATTTTTGAGGATCTACTGGGTAAAAAATTTCCATCACGTGCACCAAAATTCTTGGATGGAATGGGTATAACGAAGAACTAAAATCGCATGGGAGTATAATGGTGTCCAGCATTTTTATCGCAATATTTTATATCATAAAAATCAAGGTGATCTAGAGAATCAAATTTCACGCGATCGAAAAAAATGGGATATATGCAAAAGAGAGAGTATAGATCTCATTATAATTCCCTATAGTTGCGATTTATTACCATATATAAAAAATGAATTGCAGAAGAAAGATTATTTACCACATAACGAATAAATATTGCTTATCTTTTGGTTAAAATGAAAGAAAAAATGCCCATAATTGTATATGCCATCGACGAGATATCAAACAAATCCTCAGAACAAATAAGATCTAATAAATTTGCACCTGATTGGCCGTTCATATTACTGGTATGTGGAGGATCCAATAGTGAAAAAACCAATATGGTAATTAATCTTACGCTGGGTAATAAATTACAGCGAATGTTTAAAGGTAAAAAAGGAAATCGTTATATCAAAAACGATGATCTCATATTAATAGGCAAACATTTTGAGCCGAAATGGCAACTTGTACAAACTAGCTTTCAGATCTTTGCAAATGCCCCTAAACCATATAGAGAAAATGTCACATTTAAAAGAATATCTCCAGATAAAATTCCAGATACAGTATAAATAAATTCTCTCCAGAGCGAAGTACAGTTGTCATATTTGAGGATCTATGCACTGAACCGAAAAAAGTGCAAGAACGAATTATTCCTTACTTCATTAGTGGCCGGCGTCAAAATATCCCACCCATATACAGTATATAAGCCAGAAATATACCCAAACTCCTAAAATTATCCGCGAAATATTTCACATTTATGCCTATTTCGAGCGGCAGGAAGCCGAGATGGCATTCATAGAATCGTGCAGATGATCCAAAAAAGGCATCCAAGATTATTGATAAACAATTGCGGAATTGAGAATTTGTGATTTTTGATAGATGATCCTCTAGCAGTTAGATTGGGTTGGGACACTTCCCTGAAATTAAATGATATAAAACGAAGTATATCTATTGGATAACAGGCATTTATTTTTTTCTTATTATTTATTAATGCATTAATATAAATACATCCTACTCACCACTTCTATTAAGAAGCTGATTGTCTCCAGTCGATATGAAATTGAGGTGAATGTATAATAATACCAAGTCTGATCTATTATTTATACTAGAGATTTTTGGGTTCCATAAAATAGGTTAATATTGAAAAATCATATCAAAACGGCAATAAATAAAAATTAAAAGTATTAGCCCTTAAGAATACTTTAAGGGATTTATTACAAATAGAAATATGTATATATGAATAAGTTATATAATAAGTAGATATGTGTGTATTGCAAGACTATACATTGTTAACTTATTGCATTTTTTCTTCAATAGCCTATAATATTTAATAATGCAATGATAATTCTGAAGTGCAGAGACTATCGGATTTATATATATATTCCAATCATTTTTGAGATATGGTATTTATAGCTTGGTTTTTTCTTCTGACTTCCCTTACATGTCTAAGTTTTTTAATCGCATTGCATTTCCATAACTCATAACGATGTAATGCATACTTATGACTCGAAAAGTCTGGGCTCTGCCCATTGTCATAATCATAGCTGGAATTGGATTTTTGTTTAATTTTCAAATACTCTTCATAATTTACACCACAGTATCTATTACCTGTACATGAAAATTTCCAATGTTTCTCCATTTCTATATGGTTATAATTTCCCATATTCTTTGTTCTTTGTCTAGTATATACTAATTGATCACAAGAGAAACATATTGCTATTCCAATTTCAGGAGCATATGAAGTACCATTCTTGAAATGGTATTAATTTCCTAACTTCAAGATACTTTTTACTTTGATTCGGTAAAAGATCATTTTCTCCAAAATATGTAAGACGTTCCCAAATCCGTTTCATCCACTCACTGGGAGTTTCATTATCATGAATTTGTGGCAACTTTACATACTCGTCCCTTCATTTAAGCTAACCATTTTATGACTTATTTATTAATTATATGAGATTATGCAATTATATGGGATTTAACCTATTTGATTTAATAACTATGTACTCTAGAATAATATGATTCAATTTTAGTGCATATTTGATTCTTGAAGCATCTCTATAAGAGTGTCATATTCGTCATATTTTATGAATGATACTTGTAATGAAAATCAGAGAGATTCATAAATAGGTATTAAGGCATAATTATATGAAATAGATATTTCAAATATGAATGATAACATATACGTATGTACATAATCATTATATACTTATGGAGTAATTGATATATTTACAAACAAAATTTTTATTTAACATATGATAATCAACGATATATTTATTGCAGAGTATCGAGCCGAGCCCTACATATTATTTTTTAATTGTGATGAAATATACTGTATAACTCGGCGGTATATTATTTTTTATACTGTGCAGGAAAACCTTTCTTCGCGCCTTCAACATCTTTTATAAAAAAAAAGAAATATGCATTAGCTATCGAACGATTATTACGTAGAATACAAAGGGACTTAAAATGGAAGGATTACATACCTATGTGCGTACGCCTATGATTTTTTGGTTTCGTAGAATCACCAAAACCTAACGTTGGAGGAAGATATTTTGGTGACTCAATCTCATCTTTATCCCAATCCAATTCATAATCCGCAAAAAGGGAGTCAAATTTTCACTTTTGTTTAGTCACAGTGTTATGGATATAAAATACGACACTATGATGGACTCCTACCATAACTGGGAGATTTCTGTAAACCAAAAGATTTGATCGAAATGCCACTGCTTGCCCTTGTTTAGCGTGAATAATTAGCTTCAATTCAGGGAATGTTAATTCACCACCTTCGAAACTTCCAAGCGGGCACACAACACAGAGTGTATTTCGATGATCTTTTGGTTGATACCAACGGTAGGAAAAGCACCGAATGATTTAGGAACGTTTGGGCCAAAGTCGAGATTCTTCATCTTAGTATATAGCGTTGGATAGGTATTATGAAGATAGGTATAATGAAAATAATTGTTGATCGTATTCGAGAGTGGCTGGAGTCCTTGGATTAGTTCTTGAACGCACTCTAGATGTTCTCGGCAATGATTAGAAGCAGTATTGGCCGTTGTATAAGGTTCATTATTACTATTAGTCAGTGAAACCGCATAAATGTTCTATCAGATCCTTAGCAAAATTTTTAGATTGATGAGAGGGATTAGTACGGGGGTGCTCATAATATTGATTTACTACTATTTGCGCATCTTTCGCAACTATAGGATTAGTACGATCGAAAAAATCCACCGCAATTTCTCCGAAGGCATTCTTAAATCATTGCGGGTCAAATATATAAAGGTAACCCTTAAGTTCAATCTCTTGTACCACCTTTTTTTTTCATTTCGTCTGCGGTATAAGATTTGAAACGTTTTATGGATATTTTTCTTTCCAAGCGAGTTATTTTGATCTTCTAAATATGCATATTCAACTTTAAGCCAGAGGCGATAACAATGATCCCGAAACCGCTTTCTAAAACTTAGACCAATGGAAAAATATGCCCAACGTGCGTATTATTCCCATACTTTCTCTAGTTATAAACCGAAACTTGTAGCTTTGGTAGGCTCTGCCATAGTGTTAAAAACCTCCGATTCCAACAGATCCACAAATTCGGTAGGAATTAAAGAAGCGATTGGGATTGATTGAATACTTTGTGGTGGTAACGATTTCTTGCTAACATCATTTTTATGTAGTTCATTATAGATAGCTTCCGAAAGTATAATCACTTGGGAAGTAGAAAGCTCGTCGAATTTAAGAGTGAAGGTATTTGTCTTTACAACATCAAGAGGGATTAACTTTCGATCGATCAACCCTTAACAATCTTCCTTTGCAACCGCTTCTCAAGAAATGTTTCTATAAATGTAAATTGGGGATTCATAATATTGCTAGATTGAGAGATATTAACCGATTTGAGATCGCTGGATAGGAACTCCTCAGATACCCATAAGGATTGAATATACAGTATTCACGCGTAGATAAACGTGTCTTTTTTTAGTTTTATGCTAATTTTATAATGTAAAAATATTAATCTAAGATTATGGTTATGATAGATACATCAAAATTTTCTGGTAGATACAATCAAATAATTCTTAGCAATGTAGCTCAGTGGCTTTTTAACCGTGAGAAGTCTTCGTGACCTTCTCCTCACATACGCCTCGCTTAGAAAGATGACGATCACCTCCAAGAAAATAATGAATAAAGAAAAGTTTCACTTTTTTTCGAGTTATAAAATATTTCTTTATTGTTATCGTTATGACCATTATCTTCATTATCGCTAAGGGTGGGGTAGCTTCTTCATCTACTGAAAGGGTACCCTGTTCCTCAAGTTTCGCTTTCTTTATACGTCGTTGTAGCTTCTTACCCCAATTTCGCCTCGAGGCCCTCGTAACGGTTGCTAAATTCACGCCTTGTTTCTCATCTGTGGAACCGGTGGACACACTTTCATATTCTCTCTTCCCGGTAGTCGCTTGCATTGTAACAGAAACAAAAAACGTGGAACAAAAAAACTCGTGTATTAATAGATAAGTGGAAAAAAAAAAAAAAGACAAAAGCAACGCAATTCGACGAGCGTTAGAAATAATAATTCCTAGAGCCGAGTCTTGCTCAAGAAGAATATCGTTTCCTTTCTTGAAAAAAAGAGGCGTGGAAAGGAGAAATGGACGTCATTGCATTGATAATCGGATATACTGTATGGGTAATTATTTTTTTGAAGGCGACAAAAATGCTAGATATGACTTTTTCGGAGCCAACTTTTAAACAATACATACAGTATATAACATACTAAAAGTAATGAAACAGTTTGTAGGATAGAAAAGAATGCAGGCATAACACAGGATGCTCTAGGCATTTCTATTTATAATAAACCAACCAATTCTCATATCAGAATAAGTAGGATACATAAATATAAAAAAGTTTATTTTAACCAATTATAATTATGAACTGCGTAACTCCTTTTTTGTAAAGAACGATACAGTACGTATTCCACTGTCCGACTTGATAATAATTCAAATCGAAAAAAAGTGAAAAAATAAAGTAATGCTTCCATCGTGTGGGAAATTGTAATAAAATCAAATATATCGATTAAAAAATATATGTAAATTATAATTTAATTATCTGAAACATATTCCACTAAATCATTGAAAGTTTCGGGATCATAACGAGGTGATTCACTTTGGTTATCTTCGACATTATAAAATGCTTCGTTACCATACATATAACCTAAATTCCTGTCGGCATTATAGTTAATTATCCAAGGAGCACCGCTTGAACCAGCTCCTAAGTCCACGTTAGGCATGACAGATTCATCATCACTTACTACTACATTTCCTACAATAACACAGAGGTGTAATCCATCGTTTGGACAATTTGGCATATCACCGCTTTGTGGATAACCAAATACAGTTGTTATAAGATTATCCTGAGTTGGATTTAATAACCAACCATTAGCTCCCGTAAGATCTTGTAATCTATTGCCACCATTATCAAAATTAACTCTAAACATTCCATAATCGTAAGCAACAGGATCATCATTATATTCGGCTGGTGCTGCAGCAATATCTACAGCAAGAGATCCAAGTGGACCAGGAGCTCCGATGTCAAACCCAGGACTAAACATTAAATTCTCATATTGTCGACCGTTATTATTAAAAATACAATGCCCTGCGGTTATTCCAATATTTCCATTATCAGTATTGAATACACTGGCAGTACAAGTTGTTAAAGCCCCAGTATCAGGGTCAGTTATTGATAAAAGTCCAACGGGATAATTCCGTTGATTATCAGGATTGTCAAAAGGTTCTTTAAGTGATGGATAATCGTCCCTTTTAACTTTTGAATTTTTAACCCTACTTGTTTTATTCCTAAATCCAATGTCTTTGGGTGTTAATGGTTTGGCGCTTTTTATTCTTTCTGGTGTCCAAAAAGCAAGAGTCTTTTCGACATCAAATTTAGCAATCATTAGATCTGCATAACTTGAATCGGTTAAGGATATCATTACAACTAATGTAATTAAGAAATAAAGTACAAGTTTCTCGTTCATTTTTATTATTAAGAGCGATTGGTGTATAGGTTGATATAGATCTTTTGTAGGGGATAACTGAATCTGAATTTTTTGACGAAGTGTTATGATTTTTCGTTTCGTCTTTATATCTAAAAAATTATCGGACATGACATGTCTTTTGTGGTATGGTTTGTTTTTTACTGTTGCGAAGATGTTCCCAGAAAATATCCATTTATGTCGCCATTTGTGATATTTAAAATAAAAATCATCCAATTATGTAAAAATCCTGGGTCTAAAAATTTCCGTTATTGCCAATTATGTAAAAATCCTGGGTCTAAAAATTTCCGTTATGCCAATTATGTAAAAATCCAAGGTCTAAAATATTCCCGTTATACCGATCATGTAACAGAAGAACAAAATATTATTTCTATAATTAATTATTGTATGTCGTGGATCACCGAATCTGTCATGCGCTATATAAGTAATTATTAACGGGAGAATAAATTTCATTTTTGCTTGTCAAACCATGGTCATTGAACGAAGGTTTCAATAGTTAGAAGAATGAGTAGACGGGGGCACTAGAGAAATGACTGACCCAATATAGAGAAACGCAGAATAAACATGAGGCCCGGAAGGTCTATAATGAGGTTAGGTATCAGCTCCCAAAAAGAAATTACAAAAAATACACTCCAAAAAAGGAAAATAACTTTTTTCGTCTTCGGAGAAGGGATGACATATGCCCAACAAATGAAAACGTTTACGGCACCACCTATTTCAAATTAAGTTTGAATATATCAAATATTCAGCATCTCACGTACTAAATGGCTTTTTACTAAGCGAAACCTTTATTTTGTATGAATCAGAAATTAATCCATGTAAATTTTTGCTATACTAGGAAACGGGAACCGTTGTAATAATCACATGACACATAACAACGGTGTATTATATATCCGCCGAAAGTTTTTTTAATTAAATATTAGATCATTGTAGAAGTTAGTAAATTATAGTTTGTAAAATTGAGCAAAAAATTCTTCGTCTTTTTATAAGAAATTCATGAATTGGCATTTATTTATAGCGGAGCTAGTGTCTCTGATACATAAATCTCTGGCCAGAACCTACGAGAAGTTTTTATGATCCTTGGGTCACCCTTCGGGCCTGCAAAGCAAGGGTAACGCGTACACCTTACGTCAACGATATGACGTTTATTACTTCAACAACGATTACAAATACGTTAAAAAAGTTCGATACAACCGTTCGATCTTCCAATTAAACCAAATCAATTTCATTTACCAAATCAATTTCATTTATAAAAGGCATCCATTTAACTGTTCTCTCAATATAGTATAGTTTTTGTGGATACTAAAGATTCTTTGACAATTATACAAATCATTTCGCGACTAAGAATGAGCATTTAATTAGCGAGAGATCATATAATGCTGATAAATCATGGATCGCTTTACTGGTAATCGCATTGACCCACGAATGATTACGAAGTTTAAAAATAAGGTTAGTAATTAATTAAGTTAGTTAGAGATCAGCATTATTGTCGGAGTTGGTCTTCTGTTACGAGCCATGATTCGTAATGGCCTTCTTTGCAATAGCGGGCTATTAATCCTGACAATAAAAATACCAACCTTACCTTCGATCTACATTCTTAAATGGGACGGAAGTAGCTTGGCTATATAATTAATTGTTCAATGGATATAGATTTCATGTAATTGACCAATCACCCTTTTGTACAGTACTACAAATTACTAATCTGCGAATTAGCAGAGCTAACAACTCAATAGGTAAATAAGTGTACTATATGCTCCATTATTGCTCATATCCAAAAGAAAAAGGTACGTTTATTTTACTTGGTCTTACCGTAAAATCATTAGCATGAGCCTGTCTATGAAAGATGAGATTCCAACTAATGTGATTTATATTTTGATAGAAAATGGATTATATCGACCTTATATTTCTTGTTATTCCCACTGGCGCATTTTTTAACTATCGAAGTAAGCCATATGAAATTTATATTTCTAAGAATGAATCAGTTAGCACATTACATACCAAAGTTCTTAACATCTTGTTACACGAGTACAGAAATGTTTCTTTAATCTTCGTGCGGTTGATGTTGAACGTAGAGAATATGTGTATATGGAACCTGAAAAAAAAATCAGCGATTATTTAGATAAAAGTCCTGCTGAAATCTCGTTTCATTTTCTCGTAAAAACATAGCTTCGAGACTATGTCTCATCTAACGATTAGCTTTTTTTATACATATAATAATAACAGCATGTATTAAAAATTTGTACTATGTGGTTAGAACCATTTAAGTCTGATTGTTTATTGATACAATAAAAAAATACATGTGAAGCGGGAGAATTATCTGCCCATTATTTATTGGTAATTTTTTTTAATTCTCGGTCTCTTACTGGCCGGGGAATTATCAACCGTTATCCGATCCTTTAACAATCCTACAATAATCCCGATTACTCTTTTTACATTACTTCAGAGTGTGTCAAGATTTTCTTTAACTGCCATCTTTGAAAGATTTATCTGGTGCTCGCTATTACTTGTAGCATATATTCTATCGGGAGTATATATGATAAAATGCCACTCCATAGCTGAAGATAAATTTCGATAATTAGAAATTTACGTGGTTAAGAATTCATTCCCATAATAGAGAAATCTATTCTAAAAGAATGAGCTCCGCTCTACATACCTGTCGACACAATTCCATAGAGATAATCAAAATAATCCCCTCCAAATGCTTGATCAGCTGTTCTTTTTTTCTTATTAGTTTGATATGCACTTTCGAGCTCGAAAATTTTGGGTGTACCCAATCATTATATTACGCGGTTTAGCCTCGGTAATGCAAAGAAGATTCTCAACACTCTTGATTGCATAGTCGACTCGACCCGTGGACTCTTCTCCCGAAATATCTTGTAATGCAATGAAAATATCACCGGTGATATGTTTTTTAACTATATCAATCGATGTGTGTAATATTGCCGAAATAAATTCACATCTCGTCGCTTCGTTAGCGTCGGTCATCGACTCAACATTTGATAATTTCAGAATTATATCGTCCATACAATGATTGAAGGACTTATCGTTGTCGTCTATTTTCTCGACCACTAGAGTAAGTAATAAGGTATTAAATAAATGAAATTTGTGAGACGTATGACCCACAAAATTAAGTGGTCACTTACCAGGAACGAACTGTTTTATATTCATTATATCCTCCCCATTAACTTTGTTTTTTCCTGAGCATTTCTTTCAGGTCATCCAGAGATTTATACAACGAATAAGTTTTTAATTTTTGTTCCAGACACTCAATAAATTTTGTGAGTGATTTTGCTGTTTCCAATGCCAAACCAATACTACGAAACTCTTCTTTGGTCATATCCAGAAAGAGAGAAACCCGAAATCTCCCCCTTCCGAAAAATCTTGAAATGGGATTCTTTAAGATCTAAATTTTTCTACCTCCGTAAATAGTTTGAGTTCTTCCGTACTGTATTCCTTGATTACATCTGCCATCGTGCGAGTTGACCTTTCTTCCGTTAAAGTAGAGGATGTAGAAATTGGTGAGGAAGGTGAGGAATCGTGAGAAGACATTGCTTTTTATAGTGGAAAATCTGGTTTATGAAGTGAGATAATGCAAGGTGAGAAGTGAGAAATTTTTTGGGGTCGATCGGTGGTTATTTATAGTATATAGATTACGCAGGTTACAAACTCGGTAGACGCACGACGATCTCGGGATATGGCTGAGATTTCGACTTCCTGAGACATAAGCCATTCTATATACGCATTAATAGAGATTGTCTGGCTGACCTTCCTTATTACTTTTTTGAGTTTCACTTTTCGTATACTCTTGTCATTGGTGCGAACCCGTCTCCGGTTAAAGAAAATGATAATCTATGTTGTACCAACTTCTACGCCGATTCCGATTCGTCGATTTAATCATAATTTTTATTAATACTGTATAAATACTGACATCAATTCTTACCCTATACGCTCCTCCCGATAAGAAAAAACACGAATTTGATTCAAAAAGACTATAAAGGGAATGGGTTTGTCATTCTCTATCAGCATTTTTATCAAAAATCTTATGTATATGAGTTCGGATCTCCCGGATCGTCGTGATTATTGACTTTTTCACTTCACAAGATAGATCGTCGAAATTAAAGAGTTTATTTTTCCAGGAGTAAACACAGAGGGCTAACCAAAGAAAACGACGAAATGTACTTGGTTTTTGGATAGATCTAATGATTCTGGACGGTATAAAATACTTCTCTTGTAAGCATGGCTATCAATAACATTTTTTTACCGCTAATTCGAAGTATATCACTATTTAATGTATCGCTATTTAATTAAGATTGTAAAACGTATTTGTTATTCTATATTTTAGGAAGAAAAAATGAGTAGCTCTAATGATAACTCCGTCTCCAAGGCCAATGAAAGTAATGTTTCCAAGGTCAACGAAAGTAATGTTCCCAAGGCCAACAAAAATATTGTTTCTAAGATCAGTGAAAGTAGCGTTATTATGATCACTCAACCCAATGACCCATCATCTAATTCAGGAACTATGGATTTTTCTCGAACTCGTAAGTAAACTTTGTGTCAAAGACACTAGCTCCACTATATTGTACAATCGTCAGAGGTGGCAATATTTGACAAATTAAATTTTATTTCAAAATAGGCAAAATAGAAACAATACAAGACAATTCAAGAACTATTCAAACTGAATCTGAGAGAACAATAACTGATATTAATTCATCGCAGATAATATTAGTTTATTAAGATTATTAGATAAAAAAAAAAAGTATGAAGAGCATAGAGCCTCTACTCATATTCACATAATGTAACTGCCGTTCGACAATTTTTTAAAAAATAAAGAGATGATGTGAAGCATCGAGTCTTTGACTCTTCTGC